CTAAAAACAAACACATTGCAAAAGCCTCTAAAAAAAATCAATCGGTATCCTATTTACTGAAAACAAAGTAACTAGGTCAGAGCAAACTTTAAAAACTGTGATAATCCACTTTAAAGCAACACTGTCAGAAATAAGCAATGCTCGCACATTTGATCGCTCAAAATAATCATTATAACTTAAGTGCCATGTTAGCTTGAACAATATTCTTGTCTGTTGAGGCAAGGAACAACTAACTTGCTGCTAAACACAAGAAAACAAGGTCCTTGTCTGAACAAGCAAGATAAGCGGCTTCTCTGAATAGACAAGAAACAAGATTCTTGTCTGTGGAGACGCAAGTTTCTCGACTAATGTAGACACAAGACAAAAAGAACGAAGAAATATAACGTTATTCTTTCATCTCATCTTTAAGAGTAAACTATGTGCATACAAAACAACATTCATCTTCTCCTGACTTCGATGTTCTTGTTTTTTTCCCAGTTGTCATGTTTCCTCAGCGTCATTTGCCATCATGAGAAAGGAGCGTCGTAGTGGTTGTGAAATATTTTCGAAATGGTATAAAAGAAGACATGGAAGAGGCAGTAGTATGCTGCTGCGTACAATAACAACTACCTTGGAATAACTTACCCGTTCTCTCTTACAACGAGCTTCATCGCACTAAAGTGATCCATTTGTAAAAAGAAATTCTTCAGACTATGAACATGTTAATTGGCCCTGTCAAAGCAACGGTCGAGAAAGTATGTGGTGACGACGAAGGAGCAGAGAAAACAATGGAAGAATTCACACAAACGAATCCACTCGTTGTGCCATTTCATCTGGCTTGGGACGTCTTCAATGACGATGAAGATGACTTGGATGAAACAGTCAAAGTATTCACTGATAACCTTGAGAATATGGCCAACTCTACACCCATCATTGGTCATGCAATAGCACTGGGACACGCAGCTGCGGGAAATGAAGAGAAAGCAAAAGAAGTGTATTTGCAAGCGACAAGAACGACAGCTGTGGCCGCTGCAGGACTCGTTGGATCTCTTGCTGGCCCGGGTGGTTCAATCGCATTAGCCGCCGAAGTTGGAACTGGCTGGGACATGTGCGAGGCACTTGCAGGCGGTCGAATACATGGTATTCCAAAAGCAATTGAAGCATTCCGTGATAATATCCATTTACGTCCCGGCGAAGTATTCGACATTGTTATGACCCCAGTTGGCGATGGAACGACCGGATTGCTTGCTAAACAATTATGTGACAAGATAATGGAAGCACGAGCGAAAAATCAAGCAAGACATCAAGTGCAGGAGGCAAGTGAAGTGAAGTTTCTTTTTATATGCAACAACTTGGAAAAAAATAATTAAATGTAAATTAACATGTCGTCCAGTGCTGGACACGGTTCGGTTAATAGAACGGAACCGATCGCTTCGGTTCGCAATTTTTGAAACCGATCGGTTTTTCGGTTCGGTTCGGTTCGACTCTGAAAATGTTCGGTTCGGAACTTTTGGAACCGATCGGTTAATCGGTTCGGTTCGGCCTCTTTTTTTCCTCAACTCAAGCTGAACCTTCAACGTCCTCTTCTCACAAACTTGAACAGCAATATAATCCTCTCTCGTTCTGAAAGGATAATCGAACAACAGATCCTCTGCTAGCTAGGATAGCGAAACGAGTCTTCGCTGTTCAAGCAGCGAGCGCTGCTGTAGAGCGAGAATTCTCTCTGACGGGAAACATTATAACGGAGAAGAGATCCAGTTATGCTCCAGAGACAGTCGACGAGATTGTTTTTCTGCACTCTTTTCTCAGCCCAAGAACGCCACAGTTCCCAGGGAACTTCTTCTTCTTCCTCATCATGACAGTTTTTCGCATTTCTTCTTCCCTCTTCCTATCTCTCGGTATGAAAGTTTTGAACTGTACTGACTTGTGATTCTTAGACATGTGATAAAAAGCGACGCAAACGAAAAGGACTATACACTGCCACTTATTTCAGCACTACGCATAAACTTCACTTTTCATTTTTTACGGTTCAGTTCGGAGCTTTTGGAACCGATCGGTTAATCGGTTCGGTTCGGTTCGCGATTTTTGGAACCGATGTCCAGCACTGGTGTCGTTCGAAGAAATTTGCAACATTTAGCAAAAAAGAGTAGAGAAAAAGCTTAACGCAAGGATAAAGATAAAAGCTAATGAAGAAACATTCACAGAGTGCTGTTTTGAGAGCTTTCCAAATATTTTGAAGTACTATTTTTCGAGGTCCATAATTTAAACGGCTATAGATTGAAGGGACTGTAACTGGATCTTAGCTTTGCCACAGGGACGGTATCTATATGTATATAAGTGATGTGAAACCAAGAGATCTTTATAGGAGAGGGTTTCAGTCCCGTTCATCAAACATCAGAATAGGTAGAACCAATATATGACACAAAACTGTAATTGCAATCTAAAGTATTTTTGAGACAGAACCGTTTCTACACGATTATAACAGAAAAATACCTTTTTTTGTAAGTGAAACTTGTATGATGTAAAATTAGGAAGTGAGTCCGAAAATTCTGCCTTCAGACTTCTTACAACAACAAAGCCTGCATCAGAAAGTTCTAGACAGTATTTTAGAACCAGAAGAAGCTAATTTTGAAAAGGTGGCGTGTCGAAGAAAGAGACAATCTTTGTTTTATAGGCCAATGATGTTAAATTGGAGCCATTGAAGAAGAAACTCGATGAGCAAGGCGTAGATCATCCTCGCAAATTGGCGGAAGATATGTCGAAAAAGGCTGACATTTTGAAGAAGACAGTTGACGACAATGAGCCGGCATTACGTGAAAATCAAACGGGCAGGAATGTGAATGACTACCATAAGAGTGGTCACGTTTCCTGTACAATGGTCGACGAGTCTGGAAATGAGGGGACTGGTTATAGCTCTAGAATAACGGCAGCAACCGGAGAAGAGCGTTTCAAGGGCCCCGTGTCGAAACTAGAACAGGATCAACCAAACGTCGAATCAGTTTTGTCCCGGCGTCCTCTCGGTAATTGTGCTGAGCCTATGGCATACGAAAATTGTCCAAATCCCCCAAGTATTACATATGCAATGCAGATTAAAGATGGCATTGTCAAAGCGATTGCTCGATGTAAAAATTGTGCACAGTATGCCCTTGGGGATGTCGTTACTGACCTTATAGATGGAGAAATGATTCCATGTGACGTTGCTGAACTACCGCCTTCTGGATCATATATTGGCGCTGGTGTTAGCGGAACTGTTCTTGTTACATTACAACCGAGAAAAAAGAAGCCGCGATCAAACTGACGGGACTCATACGGGCTCGCTGTTCGAACAGCGACTCATCAGGTTAAACATGATTCATTGCTGAAACTTTGTTCTATTGTTTGCTTTTTTCATCGTCTCTTCTAATAAAGCACTTTGTACGTTACTAAGAGATTTATGTTGTCTCGCCTGTGAAGGACATGTATAAAGCTCCATCGATTTCTCTGCCAACTTAGAAGGATTCATTTGTGCCTCTATTACAGACTTTCTTTACAAGAAACAGAACTTGATGGCACTTGGTCGAGCTGAAGAGGGAAAGCGATCATTTTTAATATTTTTGAGTTTTTAGAAAACCAATAATGCGGCCGAAAACTGTATGAAAGTCAAACCAAAAAGTGAAAACGAGACGTGTAAATGGGTGGGGTAATTAGAACAGTCCGTGCAAAACACACGGGATTTACCTATAAAAGTGTTTCTCATTTTCTATTCGTATTTTAAGTTATAATTAGATGATTCCTTAGCATAAATTATGCA